TACAAAAAAAAATTCGAGGCGAAAAGACCAACAAAGCTAGCTACAAAGCAATCGGAAGGATAGAAAAAAAACCTGTCGGAACATGTGCATTCCAGTTTTGTTTAACATAGCTTGTATAAAAATGAAAAAAAAACGGTTGCATTTTTCATTAAAATGTCGAATTTGTAAAGGTTTCAGATATATGTGGTCTTTTTACATGTAGTAAAATGACAACCAAAGCAAGGACGATAAATGATTGTGTTTAGAGAGTATGGACCTCACCTTCCCAATAGACTTCACGTCCTTTATCACACTGGCAGCGCAAAGAGTCGTGAACACCAGTAAGCAGAGGCACAAATCCCATCGAAATGTTCCTAAATCATACACGGAATTCAAACTTGTAGTATCTTGTGTCTATAAACAAATCAATGCGATTAGTACACTAACTACATAGAGTCCGACACGTGTAGTATCGTGCTTATACGTAAGTATAAAAACAGGTAAGAATACCGCGGAGTGGAACAATGTTTGTCTGTTCCATGTCTCACACATAATATATGTAACATCAATATATTCTTTATTTTTTTTAATTGGTGAATAAGAAATTTGACAACTTACAGGAAAAACTCCTCTTCTGCTAGCACCGGGAGGTGCTGTAATTGCCGACGACACATTGTGTGCCGATATTTCGCCCTGTGATATATTCTTTGTTGAATTTGCTGGCAGAGTGATATAAAGATCCACACAAGCTGGGGTATTCCATGGATTGTCGCATCGTTTCCATGGCAACGGAGACATGAAACTATATCCGATATACTGCATAATCCACAGTCGGAAGGTGGGTGCTATGATGAGATATTCAAAATTGATGATGAACATCCCTATTCCTAATCCTGAGGGGAAAAAAATACATTTATCATTTACATAATTTAGAGAGAAAAAAAAAACCCGAATAACAAATATACTAAATCCACGGAAGTATATTCGGTGTCTCTGTCCTTCTTTGTAGGGTATTGTGTTCTGTTACGCGTTTCATTGTGCATGTCGTTACACGTTACATACCTATCGTTTGCAAACCTAAATTGCTTGTTTTCTAGGTCTATTCAACCTGATACCCGAGGCCTTTCCTACTGGCCCACACCGGTCTCCTCTTATTAGTAATCATGGGATGGAGACATATGAAGAGAAAATGTTAAAAAAAGAAAATAAAACTTTCATATACCGCATAATCATCGCTTATAGTGCACTTCCGTAAAGAACACAAGGTAGTATCATTATTTTTCAATCGATACATTAACAGAAAATCATTAATAAATACAAATAAACGAATGCTGGTACTATGTCAACCAAATTAAGTACCTGAATGAAACCTTGTCAATTTGTGAAATATCCTATATGTTTTTGGCTTTACACTAATGTATTTGTCATATATGACACTATGTCAAATCTAGCTACGTTAACAATACAGAATTACTTTAGCCCACCACTATTAGATAGCGGAGTGTTAAAATGCTCCTTTTCCGTGTCAACGTAATCATAATCAAAATTCAATAATTCAACAAACTTGAGCAAAAATGAACAAATGAAAGATTTGCAAGGAGACTCATGAAATGTAAAAGGAGAATAAGACGGTGTTCTGGAATAGTAAGCGTCTTCTGCTTCACATACGGCACTCGTCATGTAAGTCTATGTCAATCCATGTAAGTAATGTTACGTTCTCAAACGAGAATAAGGTTTACAAAACCAGAAACAGGCAAAGAAATGATCATTAAACACTTCCAGCTTCATATCTCACAAAGAAATAGAATAGTTCTTAATAGGATCACTATGGCGACCGTAAAACTTCCCCATAATTTTCATCAACCAGTATTTTGTGAACCTCTGTGTTACGAGTTTGTCCGTCAGTTGACGACTTATAGCACGAAAACCGTGATAATGAGAATATGCTCTCGAATATCGAATCAAATGACTTGTTAATATCATTGGCTGAAGATTCGGGGATATCGCTAGACAGAAATAGAAAATTCACAATAGGGAAATTGAAATCCTTAGTTTATCATACAGTTTGTCTCGAACTAAGTCATTAACAGCCATGGAGGAGCGCATTTAATGTTAGTATGATAATTCATCAGACCGCATCAGTTTTTGCGAGGACAGATATAAAACGCCTTACATCCCATGAAATAACTTATCAATCTAAGTACTCTTACCTTTCATGATAGGTGATATTTCCCACACGTCGAACATGCCCCGACCTGAGAACTGTGCGACAGTTACTTCTAGGTAGTAGACAGGAACAGCTACAACTGCAGCACTGAAGATGTAGGCCAGAATAAAGGTTCCTGAAATTATATCGATATCAATTACTAAATATGAAACGCTGACACCGGTTATAAGTAGCCTCATATCGGGAGCTGTGATGGAGGGGGTCAATCCGTCATATTGTTTTATGTTGCATCGTGGCCGTTCCCATTTCCGGATTGTCTTTCCCTGAAAAGACACTGAACTTCTTGACACTGGAACTTAATAGTTGGGGTATAGGTTCACCTTGGTGACGCGGTGTGTCATTAAAAAAAACCAAAACAAGCGCTTGAATGTCTAGCCATTCACCTTTTCTTCGTTATTACCACAATTCGTCCATTTCAAAGCACGAAAAATAAAACAAACAGTTAGCTTACCAGCCCGAAACTACCAGCTTACCAGTCCCGGCACAACCAGCTTATCAGTCCCGAAACTACCAGCTTACCAGCCCGAAAACTACCAGCTTACCAGTCCCAGAACTGCCAGTTTACCAGTCCCGAAACTACCAGCTGACCAGTCCCGGCACAACCAGCTTAGCAGTCCTGAAAATGCTAGCTTACCAGCCCGAAACTACCAGCTTACCAGTTCCAGTTTTCCAGTCCCAAAACTACCAGCTTACCAGCCCGAAACTACCAGCTTACCAGCCTGAATCTACCAGCGTACTAGGCCGGAACTACCAGCTTACCAGTCCCGAAACATCCAGCTTACCAGTCCCGGAACTACCACCTTATCAGTCCGGGAACTACAAACTTACCAGTCCGGGAACTACCAGCTTACCAATCCCTAAACTACTTGTTTACCAGTCCTGAAACTACCAGCTTATCAGTCCCGGAACTACAAGCTTACCAGTCCCGGAACTACCACCTTATCAGTCCGGGAACTACAAACTTACCAGTCCGGGAACTACCAGCTTACCAATCCCTAAACTACTTGTTTACCAGTCCTGAAACTACCAGCTTATCAGTCCCGGAACTACCAGCTTACCAATCCCAGAACTACCAGCTTACCAGTCCCGGAACTACCAGCCTACCAGTCCCGGAACTACCAGCTTACCAATCCCGGAACTACCAGCTTACCAGTCCCGGAACTACCAGCTTACCAATCCCAGAACTACCAGCTTACCAGTCCCGGAACTACCAGCTTACCAGTCCCGGAACTACCAGCTTACCAGTCCCGGAACTACCAGCTTACCAGTCCCGGAACTACCAGCTTACCAGTCCCGGAACTACCAGCTTACCAATCCCAGAACTACCAGCTTACCAGTCCCGGAACTACCAGCTTACCAGTCCCGGAACTACCATCGCTTGGAACAGTCTTCAGTGTGAAGCAATAACATCAAAATAAGTTCTACCTTCATATCATTAATTACGTATCATTGGTTGAATATACAAGTCAAAGATTTATTTCATTACGATCTCTTGAAATAAAACCTGAATATTTTCTTCATTCCAAACGGTAATTTTGTCGTGTATGTAAATTCAAACGCGTGAAATTCAAGACCAATGTATATGTGTGTTTCGGTATCAATCACGCTAAATCAATAATCTGAAAACACGGTGCGAGCGGGAACGAGTAGAACTATATGGGGTGTATCAAATATATGTGGTCGATTACAACGATGTCAGAAATATATACATGTATTGGCATTGACATTCCATCTGTCAATAACATGACCACTGACTAAATAAAGCAACTCAACATCGGTACATCTATCGCCTGCTTATAATACTAGACTGGAAATTCTTGGTCCGTTTGATTTGAATGTCATTGTGCTTTGAGTTGCACCGTTGAATATCTAGGCTATATCCCGACAATACAAAATATTAAAGGATATGTCTTCATCACTGCACAAAGCATGTCAAAAGATCAATTGATTATCACCAAGACACGTCAGGTGCGTGACACATGTTACCCTATCAGCCACTGCAGCTGTTTGTAATTATCATTGTGTGATAGATGGTGTCTTTGAAGGGTCCCAAACAGAAAATTTGTCTTGAATGCATATTAAAACGTGCGCAATTCAAGGCCATGATATATGTGTGAGGTGTGTAAATTGTTCTAGTGTCATCCATCTATAAAACATATCATTGCGCATGCGGCGGGAAATACTAACGTGACTCTAACCAAATTTAAACACTGTTTGAAGAAAATTGTAAATATTTTCTACCATGCGTCTAAACCGTGAATTTTTCTTGATATTTCATTCATTTCGTTTAACTTCGGGTAACTTGTCAGGAGCGCTCGTCAGGGGCGTGCCTGGGGCTAAATTCGGGATACGAAAAATTGCTAGACGGGTCCGGGGGCATGCTGCCCCGGAAAAAAATTGGGTACCCGGGTTAGGCATCGATTTTTATTGCAGTTTTAGCACTTTTAGATTTTCGATTTTCTGGACGAAGTATACGCAACTGCGTTTTTGCGTAAGCCTAGGCACGCGCCTGCTCGTGTCTATAAATAGCAGCAAGGCATGCCAGGTGCAGCAGTGTGTTTCAACAGGTACACATATATAGGGGTACCCAAAATGGAACGCCTCTTATATTCTGTCCGTTTATAGGAAATACTTAATCTTGAATATTTTTCTCCATTTTTATTGACTTCAATAACCTTATCATTAATCTAAGTCATTCATCATAAATGTTTAATTCAGTAATACTTTTCATTATGTAAAGACATGATAGAATGTTGGTATTGTCGCATCGCACCACTTTCCGTAATTTTCTATAATTTCAGTATTCTAAATTTTGAATAGAGATAAGCAACATAAAAGACAATGGCTGACAAGAAAATGCCAGAATAACTTATAGATACTTTTTTTCTTGTTTAGATTAGTTAATACTCACTTGTATTGCAAAATAAAAAAATATGTGTCAAATTATTTGAGAAATGGATATCTCGACCGAGTTCTATCTACGGTAGCTCACCTTATAACGATAAAGGAAAATATCAATAGTATGTCGTTCGATTACAACGGTGTATTAAATATATGTATCTGTAGCAAAACATGTAGCACGGAAGCTTTGTATCAAGTTATTGATCAATTGAAAGCTTGACACCTTACACTATTGGTAGGGTAGGGGAACATTTTGCACTGGAAGAAGGAGAATGGAGTTGTTGAAATTCAGCTGGAAGTCAAACACTAAGGTGACGTGAACATTGTTTAAATTTGATGATGGTAGAATGATCTATTCTGGAGAAATTAACAAATGTATTCATTGTCCCTATATAGGGTATATGGGAGGCGAGACATCAAAGCCACGGTCTGCACAGCGAAAGCTAGAATACAGGGGAAGGTTAAAGAATGTGTATGTGTATCTCGCAGCTGATGCATGTCGAATTGTCACGTGGTGTCCTTCGCAGCCACCGCAGATGATTGGGATGGGTTTAACCATTAGAAGATATTGATATAACATGTTCACTTATGAAATAAAGCCAATCAACATCGGTACATGTATTCACTACTTGTAATTCTAGACTGGCAATTCTTGGTCTGTTTGATATGAATACCGTTGTACTTTTAGTTAAGTTGCACGTCAGGTATAAGGCGTTTGCCACACTGCCAGTCATCACTTCTAGTTGTGTATCGTCATTGTGTATGATCAGTGGTCTGTGAAATGTCCCAGTAACGTGAACTTTGCTCAGAGAATATTGTCACAAAACTGACGCTTACTCATATTTTCAACATTGCCCTGCTTTTGTACATTTCATAATAAACTAGATTTTGCAATTGAGACTACAGTGTCGAGATGTAAATAAGTTGCAAGAGCCATACAATGCCATTGGACTCACATTACAGTTAGTAATCGTTATCGAGCAAAGCACCTTGCAACGGCTTCTGTGGTTGGTCCATACTAGATAAATGTATTTGAGTTCACAGGTAAACGAACACAATGAATTATGTGTTTCCAGGTAGCTGAAACTTTCGCTATTGAAATAATTCTACTTTTTTCTGAGACGATTGTATCCAATATCTTATATGACATAGCACTATTGTGCTCAGATGATAATTCATTAAATATAAGCTGTACATTCCTTACCTCCTCCATATCTCCAGATAAGGTAGGGAAACCTCCAGAAGTCAGAACTACCTGTTGTATAACCAGACAGTGACAGTATATACTCCACTCTGTTGTCCCATGTTCCTTGATTCCGTTTTCCAATGCTTTCTTCTGTGTTGTGATCCTCATCAAATGCTGTTTCCTCTTCCATGATAAAACCTATCAAGTCAGCAGTTATCTCCTTAACGCAGGTGTTAAGCCGACGTTTACATATATTAATATCAGATCTAACAGGAACACCACACGGGTTACGGGCAAATGCATTCATGGAGAACGCTATATTTAATAAAACAAGCTGGCGCTTTTTTGACGGGGATATCGGTGTGAGTTCATTCTATCAGCAGCAGAAGATGTAGTGGAGCATAACGCGAAAAAAGGTGATGGCAGTAGTAATCAATTAGTTGTACAGTGGAAGGACGTACACAATGTAATTATTAATGACGATATTATGTATTAGATAGGTTAACAATGGCATTATGTACATATAACACAAGTAAACAGTGATTATACTTATACATTACACAGGTAAACAGTGACTATACTTAACATTACACAGGTAAACAGTGATTATACTTAACATTACACAGGTAAACAGTGATTATACTTATACATTACACAGGTAAACAGTGACTATACTTAACATTACACAGGTAAACAGTGATTATACTTAACATTACACAGGTAAACAGTGATTATACTTATACATTACACAGGTAAACAGTGACTATACTTAACATTACACAGGTAAACAGTGATTATACTTAACATTACACAGGTAAACAGTGATTATACTTATACATTACACAGGTAAACAGTGACTATACTTAACATTACACAGGTAAACAGTGATTATACTTAACATTACACAGGTAAACAGTGGTTATACTTATACATTACACAGGTAAACAGTGACTATACTTAACATTACACAGGTAAACAGTGACTATACTTATACATTACACAGGTAAACAGTGACTATACTTAACATTACACAGGTAAACAGTGATTATAGTTAACATTACACAGGTAAACAGTGATTATACTTAACATTACACAGGTAAACAGTGACTATACTTATACATTACACAGGTAAACAGTGAATTTACTTATACATTACACAGGTAAACAGTGAATTTACTTATACATTACACAGGTAAACAGTGATTATACTTAACATTACACAGGTAGACAGTGACAATACTTATACATTACACAGGTAAACAGTGACTATACTTATACATAACATAGGTAAAACATGACTACACTTATACATTACACAGGTAAAACATGACTTTACTTATACATTACACAGGTAAACAGTGATTATACTTATACATTACACAGGTAAACAGTGACTATACTTAACATTACACAGGTAAACAGTGATTATACTTAACATTACACAGGTAAACAGTGATTATACTTATACATTACACAGGTAAACAGTGACTATACTTAACATTACACAGGTAAACAGTGATTATACTTAACATTACACAGGTAAACAGTGACTATACTTAACATTACACAGGTAAACAGAGACTATACTTATACATTACACAGGTAAACAGTGACTATACTTATACATTACACAGGTAAACAGTGATTATACTTAACATTACACAGGTAAACAGTGACTATACTTATACATTACACAGGTAAACAGTGACTTTACTTATACATTACACAGGTAAACAGTGAATTTACTTATACATTACACAGGTAAACAGTGATTATACTTAACATTACACAGGTAGACAGTGACAATACTTATACATTACACAGGTAAACAGTGACTATACTTATACATAACATAGGTAAAACATGACTACACTTATACATTACACAGGTAAAACATGACTTTACTTATACATTACACAGGTAAAACATGACTATACTTATACATTACACAGGTAGCCAGTGATTATACCTATATATTACACAGGTAACCAGTGACAATACTTATACATAACACAGGTAAACAATGACTATACTTATACATAACATAGGTAAAACATGACTACACTTATACATTACACAGGTACAACATGACTTTACTTATACATTACACAGGTAAAACATGACTATACTTATACATTACACAGGTAGCCAGTGATTATACCTATATATTACACAGGTAACCAGTGACAATACTTATACATAACACAGGTAAACAGTGACTATACATACACATACTTACACGGAGGCCTCGAACAGAACACCGTTATTGTGATCAAACCAGCTGGCAAAGGCTCCACAGGAATTGTCATGAACAGAAATGATTACATAAAGGGCCCATCGCAAGTTATCAAATGAGACATTCTATCGTAAAGTCGATCTTGATTTGATAGAACAGGCTGAAAAGGTCGTTGCTACCATCAACAAGATATTTAACAATGGAGATATAGATACAGTTATAGCAGAAATGTTAGGCTACGATTCCCCAAGGGCATGGATTTTCTACCTCATCCTAAAAATTCCATATGACTGGTAACCCTGGTAGACCTATCATTAATTCGATTGGCCACCTCACATGAAAAAAATCTCAAAGTTCATCTACTTCCACCTACGACTTAATGTAGAAGGCCTGCAATCTTACTTCAAAGATACCACAATCTATCTTATCTAAAAAAAAAAAAAAAAAAAGACACGCTCCTGGTAACTATGGAAATAGTCTCCTTGTACACCAACATCCCACACGAGGATGACATCTTAGCTTGCCGTACAGTATGGGACACCATGGAGTACAAACACCCTTCAACAGATAATCTGGTAGACATTCTTAAGTGATTGCTCACGCTGAACATCTTAACATTCAACAGAGAGTATCATCTACAAATCCGTGGTACTGCTATTGGCACCAAAACGGTACCATCATATGCAAATATATTCACAGGCCTCCTTGAATCTTGGCTACTTGCAGCAGCTCCCTCGGAACCAATTAACTGGTTCAGAGTTATTGATGACATTGAGATCAAGTGGACATTCAGTCGAGAATCTCTTCAGAATTTCATTTGCCTTGCAAACGAATTCCACATGACCATGAAGTTCACTTCCGACGAGAAAAAAACACTTTCTTCAACACTTGTTCAACACTCACCAACGGGGAAATTAGCATTGATTTATACAGTAAACCAACGGACACTCAACAGTACTTTCGCCCATCTAGTTGTCATCCATCCCATACCACAAGGAATATTCTACACTCCCAAGCGTTTAGAATAAGATGTGTTGTTTCTGATGACGACGTCTTTAAACGGCGTTGCTTAGAACTGAAGTCCCATCTACTCAACAGGTGAAATAAAGCAGTTCCGATCGACCGCGAAATCGATAGAGTTAAAGAACTAGACAGGGCTAATACACTTGATTACTTGAGTCCGATCATAAACTGAGAGAGTACCATGTGTGGTAACCTTTCACCCTAGCATGCCACCACTGTCAACAATCTTCCAGAAACACTGGCAAATCGCGCCGTCGTCCAGTAAACTTCAGAACGTTTTCCCGGAACCAGCAATACTAGCTTATCGCGGACCAAAATACATCATTGACCTGGTGGTGAGCAGTAAGCTACGTACAACTTCCCACACTCCTGCAACAAGTTCTTTAAAAACATGTAACAGTAAGAGATGCAAGCTTTGTTTGGATACTCACGGCACCAATGTATTCAAATGTGAGGTCAACGGCCAGAACTACCACATCCTCCAGTCGACACCCTGCACATCGGCCAATGTAATGTACTTGATTCCGTGTGTCAAGTACCATATGCAGTACGTGGGGGGAACCAAAACACCACTTAATCTCAGGATCAACACTCATCGATGTTCTATCAAACAGAAACGCCCAGATCTGCGTGTAGCAAGACATTTCAACATGCCAAATCATTCGTGGTATGACATGCAAGTGGTACCCATTGACAACTGCAGGAGTTGGGTGACCAGCAACGCCACATGAGGAAGGACACTGTATCAGCCAACTACCTACTCGCCATGAACGAGAGATGATCTTGCTACAACATACATTTTTAATTCCTAATGCTGCTTTCTTGCGTATTTTATAATTAATTCTAGACCGGAAGTAGAAATTTCAATTTTATGGGGCGACTTTTTTGGGCGAGTTGACGAATATGGGCCCTATTTGGCCACGTTCAAAATAGTATTTATATATATATATATTCTTATTTTTAATCCTACATTCCGCATTTAGAATGTTGGCCGAGATGTACCGGTAGACTCTTTCCTCGGAGTATGACATCGAATTGTTTCTCGTTGCGATCACATATACGTCATTTGTCTACAGTACAAAATATTCCAAGATTTTAATCACCATCTTCCATACAACAACCCAGGTTGGGATTTTGTCCCTTATAAATGACCTGTGGTGTACATCGTCCGAAGGGATTATCGAGACACCACTCGCGATTTGACTTTATAACTTTGTATTTGTTTTATGTTCATTTTTTTAACTTTCAACAAATCTTATCGACAAACGTCAAAACGAATTGGACATCAGGCATTGTCTATTGAAGTCCTCTCCTTCAGGTGATAAATTGTGGTAAAGAAACAAACAGACATATATATACTGAAAGGATAAAGAAACGCAGGGTAATATTTATTCCGATATTTTGAAAACGCGTTCTCCAAATAAAGTGAAACTTTGTGGATTGAGTAATTAGGTCATATTACACCTTGTCATGTATCGAAAATTCAGTCACGGTACAGTGCGCAGCTCTGGTAAATGGAGGAAGAAAAAAACAAGATTCTCGTGCACCGTGTTGTTCTGGTCTCATGCAGCGTTGGTCAAGTCATTCTTCGTTAGTCTTTATACAGACCAACTGGTTCCCTAAAATTAATTGAGAATTTGATTCCTTTTAAGAATGGCACGACTCAAAGAAGTTCAGAGGGTCAGGCCATTCAGATGCTGATGCAAGGACAGCTGCAAATTAGGTTGCTAGGCACTTTGGTGTTAATGTTTCCACCAAAGAACGTCTTGTAAGACGTCTTCGGGAAACTGGGCGATTGGCCGATCGACCTAGGTCAGGACGTCCGCGCGTAACGTCACGACGTCAGGATCGCTATATCGTCTTCTCTCATGTGCGTAATCGGCGCCTTACTGCCATTGAGAGTGCACTTAATGTTCGTGAAAATCATGGGCGTCCTATAAGCTCAAAAACTGTAAGGAATCGATTACGAGAAGTTGGTGTAAGAGCACGTCGCCCCTACGTAGGTCCACACCTTACCCCTGCTCCACGTCAGCGTCGTATGGCCTGGG